GGTATAGCTGTACATGGATATAGCATAGCGTATTGTAGTAATGACGGTGTAGAATGAAGCTTGTCTGAGAATTGGAATTCGAGTTTACACGTTAGGATGTGAAATTGATAAGTAGATGCTTATATTTTGCTAATGTTGTGGGATTCTTTGGGCGGGTGGGTTTTTTTCTAAATCCGAAATCGCCAGCTCGACTAGAAACTGCTCGCTCCGGAGCTGCTGAACCCAGAACCCTAAACCCTAAACGCTAAACCCTAAACATGTTGGACTTGACCTCTCCGAGCTCCGTGCACCCTGTGCTCAAGCCGCCTTCGCAGGCCTCCACCAGCCCTCCTTCCGGGGCGTCCTGGGTTTAGGGTTTAGAGTTTAGGGTTTAGGGCTTCTTCTGAATCTTTTGGATGTGGGGTTGAGAATCTGGGGGTTTGGGAGGTTTTCGGGTTTGGGATCGTTCCGAGTTTGGAGTTTCGGATGGAGGGCTTTGGGGGGCTTTGGGGGCTTTGGGGCTTGGGGGTGGGGGCCTCGGGCCTAGGGGTTTAGGGGTTTATTCAGGCTCCATCTTCGGTGATTTGGGGCTTGGGGTCTGGCGGCTTCGGGGTTTGGGCTTTAGGGCTCCATCTTCCTGGGTGAAGGGCTTTAGGGCTTCCGGGTTTTGTCTCCGTTTGGGGCTTGGGGCGTATACACCGCTTGGAGGCAGACAGGGGTGAAGGTTCGGGTTTGAGGGCTTGTTGGGGGCTTGGCTGGTGTAGGTTTAGGGTTCAGGGTTTGGGGTTGAGCTATCCTTGAGGGCAGTCTACATGGGGTAGTCACAGCGGTGGAACAAATCAAAACACAACTGCCCTAAACGAAACCAGAATAGCCGCACGACAACAGGACCGCCAACTCGGCAAGAGATGATAAATCCCAACCCGAACGGAAAAGAAGCTAAATAGCAAGTGCCGTGTGTTTCTTACCTGCGTATTCTTGGATTTCCCTACTGCTTTAAACAGCCGGATGGCATGTTGAAAGACTTCAGCATTGAGATCTCGGGAAAGCAAGCTCTGTTGGGCTTTTGGCTTTGGGTGTTGCATCCTTTCTGAGTTTTGGCAGGTAAGGTGGGATGTAGACTTGAGGGCTTGGGGCAGCTTAGGATATCGGGTTGTGGTTTGGGTCGCTCCGTCCTGGTTGCCGCGTTGACCACGGACGGCTGCTGCGGGCTTGTGTATCGGCTGTTGGGCTTCCTCCTTGTGTGGGTATCGTGTAATTGGGTCGATACATGATGGGCAGCTTCAGAAAGCCTAGGCTGCAGCAGACGAACTGTTTGTTCATTTAGGGGCCATGGCTTGGGTATAAGATACTCTACTGTACTCTACTCTACTGCAAGACAATATATTGTACTATACTATCATATAGTAGAATCCAATAGGTCTTCAGTTTCTCTCCCAAGGTCGACAAGTGGCAGATTCTTGGGCAGAGGCCTTCTCCTCCGCAGAGCAAACTTCTCACTGATAAGATCGCTTACGTTAGCAGCCATGTGAAGCACGCGTGTCATAAGAGACCGAAGGCATAGACAGTTCTGTAAGCATAACGACGGACCAGCAGGAGTAGTAGTGGTCATCTGGCAACACACCAATTGTAAAAGAGAGTGCAGCACAAGGAGGAGTCGTCTTTAGGCAGAAAACAGCATGAACTCTATCAGCGCCGTGCTGGTCTACGTGGGATCTGCACACATAGAGCATCCCAATAACACTGGGCAGACAAGGCCTCCGATGTGGTCGATGGGGATTCAGTGGTGGCCTCCAACAAGGCAGCTCGAAGAGAAAAGGGTCGGGTGGCTGGATTCGGCTTACCCCACTTCGAAGCTTAGGGTTTCAAGCGATTTCGTGCCCGATTGCAACGCATTACCCACCTGCCTCAGGAGTTTAGGGAGGGGACTTTGGATGCAGTGTTTCTGAAACCCGAAACTGGGCCACCCCTACATCCAGCTTGCGGGTGCCACCTCTGTCGTCGATTCCACCGTCGTCGCTGAAGTTTCGGCGCTCTCCTCGGCAAGTCTACCCAATGCCAGGATGGCCAGCACAGCATGTAGGGTTTAGGGTTTAGGGTTTAGGGTGGTGTTGAGGGCTCAACTGCTGGAGATGGCTGGAGGGTGAGAGCCGAAGCAGCCACGTAGCAGAACAATACATATTTTCCATTATTATCCTCATCACCTCCATCTTCATCATCCTCACCTCCATCTTCATTATCCTCACCACCATCATCCCAAACCCGAAACCCCAAAACCTGAACCTTACACCCTGAACAGTTAAGCAGAGCCAGTGCAAAACTATCAACTTCCAGAAGTGTCACCGTCGCCTCCTCGACTGGGGCCTCAGCCGAAAACTCAACCTCTGGGTCGAAGTACGGGTTTAGGGGTTTAGAGTTTAGGGTTTAGGGTTTAGGGTTTAGCGTTTAGGGTTTCCGAAAATAGAGGATCCAAATATAATACCCTAATACCCTAATACAGTAGGATGCTTAATATAAGGACCCCAAAATAAGGTACCCTAATTTTCGGAAACTCCCATAGACAGAGAACTACCCTTTCAGGTTTCGGGTTGAGGGTACAGAGACTCCAAAGGGAGCCAGGAAACCCAGGTTTAGGGTTTAGGGTTTAGGGTTTAGGGTTTAGGGTTTAGGGTTTAGGGTTTAGGGTTTAGGGACCCACATCATCGCATCCCCCCTCCTTGGACTTCCACCCCCACAGGAGTCCCACGAAAGGTGGCCAGGACCAGTCAAAACCTCCTCGGAGATCCTCGAAAGCATCTTGGGGGAGTTCCGAAAATAGGGGGACCCTACTACAGGTACCCTAAATAGTAGGATCCTTCTTACAAGGGCGCCAGAATAAGGTACCCTAAATATCATAAGGGCCCCAAAATAAGGTGCCCTAAATAGCAGGATCCTTCTTGTAAGGGACCCAAAAAAAGGTGCCCCCCTAATTTTCTGAAACTCCCAGGTCGACTGCAGCTGAGATTCCGTGGTCCCCTCGGTCGTTGCCGGAGCGGTGGTGGTACCACTTGTTCCCTCCGTCGTTGTGGGGTTGAGGGTTTAGGGTTTAGGGTTTTGGGTTTAGGGTCTGGAGTCTGGGGTATGGCTTACGGCACGGTTTACCTGTGGCCCAAAAGACCGACCCTTTTAAGGAACTATCTATAGGAACCATGATAAGGAACCCTGAGAAGGTAGGTCTTGTCGGCTGCAGGGAGAGTTTTGAGCTCAAGATTTCGGATTTCTTCTGCAACAGCATCGCACGCGCTGGCCAAGTCCACGACGAAACCCTAGCACCCCATAATCGTGAAACCCTAGACCCGTCAAATCCTCAAACCCCACACCACAGAAACTGTAAACCTTGCAGCAGAGCTTCCGTGGTCCCTTCGGTCGTTGCCGTCGGTGCTGCGGTCGTTGCGCCCTGAGCTTGTAGTCTTCCCGGTCAAGGTTTATGGGACCTCTCTTCACCCCACACCCTAGACCCTAAACCCTAAACCCTAAACCCTAAACCCTAGACCCTAGACCCCAAACCCTAAACCCTAGACCCTCAACCTCAGACCCTAATCGTCGGAACTCTCTTCGCGGCTTCAAGCTTCAGCAAAGGGACATTCATCAACTTTGCGACCTCCGGGTCCTCCTGCATATGTTGAAGCTCATGCCTCGGGAATTGTTTATAGGGCTTACGGCCGGTCGAGAGAGTTCGGGATTCAGGGTATTCGGGTTTCGGTTGATTTGTTTGTGCAATGGCCCTTTCTCCGCAGGACAAAGGGACAATGCACTGAGGGTTTCGAAGTTAGGGCTTGGGTTTCGGGTTTAGGATGCGGGTTTGGGGAACAAGTAGCACCATCGTGTCCAAGACGATCGATATCTGCTCAGTTCTACACTGGCAAATACTGATTGCCGTCTTCCAAGTACCTCCGAAGTCGCACACACTGCTCTAGACCCTAAACCCTAAACCCTGAAAACTTCACACTGTAGTAAGCCCAAGGCATTCAACCGTGAAACCCAAAACCCTAAACAAGAAACACCAAATCCGAATATGTGCCACTCTACCCTTTGCGCCATGCCGAAACCCTAAAGCATTAAACCCCAAACCCCTAAACTCTAAACCCTAAGTTGGAACGGGCCCCCGGCGCCAGCTTCGTGCTGAGGACATCCTTGGAAGGCTGTTTCGGGGGTGTTCGATCTCAAGATGAAGCGTGGTAATAGTTTAGGACTTTGTGGTTTCCGGTTTAGGGTTTAGGGTTTGGGCTTTAGGATTTCGGGTTTGGTTAAGCCTACAAATCCCAGCCTATCGGACGAAAGGACGCTGCGCCGGGTTTAGTGTTCAGGGTTTTCGAGAGGCTTGAGGTTTAGGGTTTGGGGTGCAGGGCTTCAAGATTTAGGGCTTTTAGCTTTCAGGATTTGCCCGAGCCCGCACTTGGGACGTCCGCTCCATGTTCAGATCAAGATGTAAACTCATCAAGCAAGAGTGAAACCAAAATCAGCTAGAGATGGACAAGAGCCAGTAGGAATTGAAGCAACAGCACAGGCAGCGATTGCTACTACTGCTCCTCCTGACTCCTCCTGCTGCTGCGGATGCTGCTGCTAGCACGACAATCACTGCTATTCATAGTGCGTGGTATGGTTGCATCATCATCAGGACGCCGGAGATATCATGAAGACTACAGGCCACAGAAGTCGGATGATGCCCAAAGTTCTCCGGAAGTCTGAGGCCACTTTAGGGCTTAGGGTTCAGGGAGTTGCCTCACAACTTGCAACTTCAGCCCCCAAGTCGCGCCACCTCTGCCTACACAGAGTAGTATAGGAGCCCCCACGGAAGCTGCCGGCTGCACTGGGGCCGTCTGGTCCTGTCATTTGCATCTCGAAAGGTTCGGGTTGAGGGCTTAGGGCTTAGGGTGGGCCCTTCCAGAAGTCCCAAGCAATGCATTGCAAGCAAAACTATTCAGATGGTGCTCAACCGTCTTTGCGATGCAGGATGTCGTCCATGGTCACTTCACTTACCTCACTGCTCATTCTAGAGTGTAGAGCCTCACGGCATGCTCTCTGCTCTCTGACACCGCTTCATGGCAACACTTTTATCATGTTGCCTTCTCATGATCCTCCATCTGCGGCGCAGTTTCCGGAGTCGCATGAGACTTTTCGAACTTCTTATGAAGACTTGTTCTTGGTCCTACCCTTATCTGGACCTGCGGTGCCCTTCTCTTGAAGGCCGCTTTGATCTCGTTTAAACAGGCCGACTGCTCCACCTGTAACAACTCGTAAACGGAGGCCCAGCCATCGCGAGCAATTTCTATGAGGTGATTGGTCGAATACTCCGCACAGAGACTTGCTGTGCCACACACGAACTTCGCTTTCAAGCCTTCCATCGGCTCAACAAAGCCAGCAGCTGCCAACGGTTCAGGGGAATCCAGCAAACAACCCAGTTCTAGTGGGAGTCAAGCCCGAAAACTCTCACACTTCTGAACCGTAGTGTGGAAAGCTTTACACAGCTCACTCAATGGTCCTCGGAACAGACCTGGCAAACACAGACAGCCGTGGACCGAGGTGCTGGGCTTGATCTCGGGGCTTCTGCCTTATATGGGCCCTCCAAACCTGCATGACCTTATATACCTAAACTATGGGATTTATGGTACTATACTATATAACTATGGGATTTATGCTACTATACTATATTTGGGTCATGCAGGATTTAGTCCATCAACCGCATCTCAACAGTTGGGGAACGTGTGCAGCTCGACAATAAGCGAGGTTGCAAGGCTTCAAGTGGGTGGTTGTCAAAATTAGGGTCCCTTTTTGGGTACCCTAAATATTAGGGTTTAGGGTTTAGGGTTTAGGGTTTAGGTGCCGTATTATATTATGGACCCAAACAGGGACCCTAATTTTGACAACCACCCAAGTGTTCAGCAGTCTCAGCGCTGTACCGAACCCGGCCTTACACCCCAGTTCGCTAATCGTAGTATAGGTGCTCATGTTTACGGTTTAGAGTTTAGGGCTGCATACATACATGCGTTTGCCTTATATGTGCATATGAAAACAGATGCAGAGGTATACATATGCAACTATTCAAACCAATGTGCTTCTGTGAATATATCTGTCTATCTATCTGTCTATCTGTCTATCTATCATCTATCTATCTACCTACCTATCTGTCTACCTATTTATCGAACTATCTATCTATATACATGTATATATATATATATATATGCATACTTATGCATGTATATATACTGGTATCTACATGTACATGCAAGCAGCCATACACATCTAGGAATGCATGCATGGGTGCATGCACACATGCATGCATGCGTGCATGTGTCTATGTCTATGTCTGTGTCTATGCCTTCGCCTATGCCTATTCCTGTTCCTATGTCTATTTGTATATATATATATATATGTATGTGCATGTATGTGTAAGTACATATAGATATAGACACAGGGGTAGATGTATCTGTAGGTGTAGATAGCGGTATTGGTATACATAAAGATGAAGACATAGATATAGGTTTAGATACAGGCTAAGATATAGGTATAGACAAGATATATACAGAGAGAGAGAGAGATAGAAATACAACTAGAGATGGACATAGAGATAGAACTAGAGTAGGTATAGAGATGGACATGAAAATGGAAATGGAAATGGATGTGTATGTGTATGTGCGCGTTTGTGTGAAGATATACATATATATATATATATATATATGTATACCTATAAATTCAGCACAACCGTGGCTTTGTCAGTTTCTAGCTCTATGTCTGCATATAGAAGGATGCAGAACGGCTGTCCTCAGCCTCCTGATGCCCTCAAGTGGGTTGGAAGGACCGTTGCTTTGCTGGGTTGGCGTCTGCGAGGTTGGATTCCGGGCTGGGGATGTAGAAATTCGGATTTCGGGTTTAGGGTTTAGGGTTTAGGGTTTAGGGGTTTAGGGTTGAGGGTTTAGGGGTTGAGGGTTTAGGGGTTTAGGGTTTAGGGGTTTCGTGCACTGCTTCGGATCTAGGACTTGGGACTCAGAGCTTCGGATACCGCCTTCGGCCCGCTGATGACATTGATCCCGGGCATCTTCACTGCCAGGGCGTTGTGATAGAGCCAGCAAGCCCCCGAAGGCCTGAGCCACCAGCCATGGTTCTTTTTCTTTTTTTTGGGAAGGGGGGGGGGTTAGGTTTGAGGGCTTTAGGATTTTAGGGTTTTTAGGGTTACCATGGTTTAGGTTTTAGGGGCTTTCGGGTTTTAGGGGTTTTTGGGGTTCAAGGCCTATGGGACTAGGTTTCGGGTTCAGCATTCGGAGTTGACAGGTTCTGCTTCCAGTTCTTTGCGGACTTGGACGTGAGAGCCCGCGGGAAGTCTCTGGTTAGGGTTTAGGGTATATGGCCGTTGAGGGTTCATGGTCTAGCTGGTGTAGGGTGTAGGGTTTAAGGTGCTTTTGGGCTGATCGCGCCTTTGTCGGGAACGCCAAAGCTGGCTGAGGCACCGGGTTTGGGACTCTGCGAGGTACCAGGCTTGAGGTTCGGGGTAAACAGAGTGTTCTTAATTCGCGGATCAGGGTTTTGGGCTATCTTTGTATGTTTATCTACTTCGTAGAGCCTAAACCCTAAACCCTAAACCCTAAACCCCTTCGTAGAGCTATACAGGGACTTAAGGGGGCTTGGGGTCTCAGAGAAAAGGACTTGGCATGTCGCCCGCGGTTTGGCTAACCCGCATGGTGAGACCCAGGCCCGCAGGAAAAGACTAACTCCTATTGGTTCAGGGTTTAGTTTAGGGTTTAGGGTTTGGGAGTATTCCCGAGCTCTAACATCCTGAACCAAGTGGAATACCACCCTGCAAAACTCCACAGGTAAAAACGTCTAAGACCCTTGCAGCCCCTACACCTCTGAAGATTACACCCTGGTTATATAACATCCCTTAGAAGGGTAGCCCTTATAGCAACTCTCCTCAAACCCTTATACAGGAGGGTGCGTGCGCCTAAGGCACCGTTTATATTGCATGCTTAAACGTGTAGGAAGAATGAGATCCGTTGTACGATTTTCGGGAAAGAGCAGGATTGTAGCGCCAGCCGGAAAGTATTGAGTTGGACAAGATTTCACTCAGCGATTGTAGTTTGTGTAGTGATCATCAGCATGTTTTCTTCTTCTTCATCATCATCATCTCCATCACCATTTCGTTGCACACTATGTTGTGCAAAGAAGCAGAACCGCTGCAAATACCCGGGTTCCCACAAGGCCTCAACGCATGCGGCAGTGTGTCTTATGGCAGAAATGCAAAACGTCCTTCTGCGGCGTACTGTAAAGTGGCGAAAAGCTCAAATACCAGTGGTTTGGGCATGCTCGCCCAAGGTCAACATCAAACATCCTTTTGCGGCAATTTGTATAAAACTGCAAAAAAATCTAAATTGCCAGAGTGCTGGGCATGGTCGCGGTTAGAACCCCGACCCCAATGAAGACCGGTCGAAGCACGAAGCGCTATGTGTCCGTTACCTTTCAGGAACCCTCAAGGTATGGTGACCCTTCTGGTAAACGAACCCTTCATGATAAGCCCCTAAACCCCTCAACTCTTCTTCATAAGTCCCTAAGCCCTAAAACCTTACCGTCTGTGCTGCAGGCAAAGAGAGTTTGTCGAAGCTGAACTTCTGGCAGCCCCTCAGGAGGGTGTAGGTTGGGGTTCCTTTAAGAATTCCTTTATAGAAGGGGTCTGGCAAGATTCTTTGAGGGGACCAGAAGGCTGAAGGGGTTTAAAGGAATCAGGGTTTAGGGTGTAGTGGTTTAGTCGTTTAGGGGTTAAGGCACTGACATTTAGAGTTTAGGGTTTAGGGGTAGAGTTTAGGGTTTAGGGGTGCAGGGGTTTGGGGTTGGTAGTGTAGCGGTTTAGGTATTTACGGGTTTACAGGCGTTAAGGGGGCTTTGAAGGCTATAAGGGTTTTGGGTTTTGGCTTTCGCGCTATGGTTACGGTTAGAGCTTTCGGGCTCCGGGTTCATGGTTTAACGGTTTAGTGCTTGAGGGGTTCTTTGGGCAGCCAAAAAGCAAGGACCCAAGCAGAGACCCGCATTTGAAGAAGCGCGTTCTTCTGCTTCGAGGTTCGGGGTTCGGGGTGTTGAAACACAGCGTACTCGGACCTTCCTTGAACGAGGCATGTCAAAGGAAAGCCCTGACGGGCTCACATACTATCTAAACCAGCTACTTGAAGCACACCGAGAAAGCCAACTGCAGCTGGAACCTCTTGATCCTCAGAGCGCCACAGCCCCGCGATGTCGAAGACAGCTCTTTCTCTGAGCGTCCCGCGGGTTTTCCGCACATCTCTGCTGACAGTCAGCTGCGGTCTTTTCGTGACTGTGTGGAAGCATAACCTTGGCGCTCCGGCTCTATGCTTGACACGTCAGCTGAGGTGGCAGCAAAACCCAAAGTATTAACAACGCGAATGCAGCTCTGCAGCATCGCACACATGGTCCACGACAAAGCTAACCAAACACATAAACAAATCTGCGAAGTGATGGAGAATGGGACTGCAGCCCATGAAGACATGACACATGTAATATCAGCACCACCATCATCATCGCCTCATCATCATCATAACCCTCTTCTTCATGATCATCACCATCATCATCACCATCAACAGCACCATCAACAGCACGGCAGCATCACCAGGATCATCAACATTGTCGACATTGTCACATCGCTATCGCCATCAGAATCACCATGAACATGACCACCTGGTCATCAGTGCTGGCTTGCGGTGGGGGACCAATACAACAATGCGATCCATCATTGCAGCCGTTTCAATAAGAAGTACGACGACGGTAATGAGCAGAGCCACTCTCACAACTCGAGATATGGGATATGTTGGGTTTTGGGCTGAGGGCCTCAATTTACTAGTACCAAACGTGCAGGTGTGGTTAAGGATTCCGTCACTGCAGAGCTGACCAAACCCTAAACGACAGCCCAGTGGCCGCGGGATCAGAGTACCTCTCGTTCTCCCTGGCACATGAGGGTGTCTTGCAGCTGACCTGCCCACACGCCACAACCACACGCCACAAAACAACTACACGCATCACACACACACACACACATGCACCTCACACTTGGGGTTGCTTAGCAGTGTGGACCTCGAACAGTGGTGACTTCAATCCTTGCTCTGCTGGCGAACTGTTCCTGACCAGGGCCTCAGAAGTCGGGGAGCTCAGAAAAAACCCTAAACTACAGACCCATAAGGGGCCTCACAAGATGTTGCAAGACACTTGTAGAAAAAACTCCATACACGACACTCATACCAGAACTCGACTAAAAGAACCCGAAGCATCTAGAACCCTAGAAACCCTGAAAACTCTTAGAAGCCCTTAAGAACCCTAAACCCTAAACCCCCTAAACCCTAAACCCTAAACCGTGAAAACTCTTAGAAGCCCTTAAGAA